ATTCAGAATGGAAGGGCAGATAAAGTGCTTCACAGGTAAGATCAAATTAAAGGAGTACATCATCACTAAGTCCTTATTATATCAAATGTTAAAGGGATTTATCTAAGAAAAAGAACAAGATTGAAACAATGAACAGTAAAATGACAACAAAATCACAAATACCAACAACTTAACCTAAAAATAAACCACAAAACCAAAAATGAACTAAGTAAACAACTAGAACAGGAACAGATTCACAGAAATGGAGATCCCATGGAGGTTTATCAGTGCAGAGGGGGAGACAGAAGAATGGGGAAAAGGTACAGGTAATAAGAAGGATAAATGGTAGATTCAAAATAGACAGGGGGAGGTTAAGAATAGTATGGGAGATGGAGAATCCAAAGAACTTATATGTACAACCCATGGACATGAACTAAGGTAGGGGAATGATGGTGGGAGGGGGTGTGCAGGGTGGAGGGGAATAAAGGAGAGAAAAAAAATGGAACAACTGTGATAGCATAATCAATAAAATATATTTAAGAAATACAAATAGGCAGTTACAGAATAGACATGGGGGTGTAAAGTACAAATAAGAAAAGGAGTAGCCAAAGAACTTATAGCCATGACTCATGCACATGAACTTATATGTATGACCTTTGTGGGAATTGCCTGAAGGAGTGGGGTGTGCTGGATGGAGTAGGGTAAAGTGGAAAAGATTGGGACAACTATAATAGCATAATCAATAAAATCTAATTAAAAATATATAATGATAATAATCACAATATTTGCATGGTACATAACCATGACCAGGCACTAAGTATTTTATGTATATTAACCTTAATATTCATAAGAATTGTGGGAGGAAAATATCATTACCCTTTTTCCTAATTTTTTATACAAGGACACTGACACACTGAGGGGTTAAGTTACTTGACGAAGGCACAGCCAGTAGGTGGCAGAGCTGAGTGTTGCACACGGACAAGTTGGCCCCAGAATTCCTGTGATTAGTTATTATCACAAGTTGCCGCCTCTTAGAAGTTATGTGTTTTGCTAGATCTATTTGCAGAACATAATAGACTGGCAGAATCTGAGGTAGAAAAATGCAGGTTTCAATTTCCTCTGCTAACTTGGGCAGTTTACATACTGATGTTTTGATTTTTTTCCTTGTAAAACAGAAATAGTATTTGTCCTGCCTACCTCATTGGTTGTTGAATAAAATGAATAAAACAATGTATGTGAAAGTGCTTTGTAAAGTGTCATGTACAGAGTCACTACATAAACTTTGAATGGGTGTGTCAGCTGGGCTGTCGCTTCAGCTGTGTGTGATGAAGTGCTCCATAAAGTGAACTGGGTCATAGCTAGAAGACAGCAAAACTCTGACTTGAACCAACCCAGGGTTGCCTGTGTATAAAAGCTGTGCTTCTAACAACACCAATGCACTCACTCCTGTGAGAGTTGGTTACTATGATATCTGATAGTGCACCATTCTGTGCAGTTTCATTAAAAATAATGTAAACATAATTTGTCCTTCAAGAATTTCCCACAAAGTGTTTTTCTGGTAGGACTAAATCAGAAATTCCTACCTCTGACTTACAAACTGAACTAACTGAGAGCAGCAGAGAAAGATAGGTCAAGTGATTAAAGGTATAAAGTAGGTGTCCAAGCAACCAGAAATGCTTGTCGGAGGAAGATTTCTTCTTACCCTGGCACGGTGGGGACATTCCAGACAGGCGCCTCTGAGACTCTGAATTGGAAAGCAGCTCAAATTCCCACACAAGAGCGGAATGTTTATCAGTTTGGAAACATTCAGAGAGTACTCAGGGAAGAGAATGATAATGGGTCTCTCCATCACATATTTACTACTTCAAGCAAGGTTTCTCCATCTTGGGGCAAGGGATGGTTAAAAAAAATCAAACAAAAAGAAAAACCATTATAAACAATAATGTTAGCACTGTACTACTTTGTCCTCTAGCAAATTCCTCACTCAGAGTTATAAATCATTGCAATATCACTAAGATAGAAAATCTATTAATCAATCAAGAAGTATTGGTCAGGTGTGTGCCACGTGACTAGCCTATGTTTGAGCCTGGGGTTAGCAGATTAAATGCTTGTAGAATCTGCAATGTAGATCTAACAGATGAGGTTTTAGAAACCACTATGTGCCAGATTTTGTGTCACCGAACATAAATATAACAAACTTCAAGAATGCAGGTTCCCTGAAAAAAGACTAAAGAAAGATGAAAATGAAAAAGAAAGAATAAAAAAAAGACATTGAGAAAGTCTGAGAACACAGAGCTCAGTAAGGCCAGTATGGTCAACTATATCATAATATATCCAAAGTAATGTGCAAGTCATTACTAGAACCTCCTTTTAATACATATTAAAATCAATCTTTATTTCACATAAAGTAAAAATGAAGACAGTGGATACTGAAGTCTAATACAGACCTTTTAATTTAAAAATCACAAAATTATATATCTTCCCCTGGTTATGCTGTACCTCTGCCATTCTCCCATTTCTTCTGTCACTTCCTCATAAGTTGATTGTGGGGGTGGGGTCCAGCACTGTGACAAGGGCTTGGCCATTGAAGATGAATAAACTGGAACCTGCTGTCTGGCTCAGTGTAATCACTCAACAAGCGGCAATGACTATACTATAATGAAGACAGAAAGAAATTACTACCTCAGCTGAAACATAGGAAGCAGGCAGAGCTTAAGGTAGGGTAAGGAAAGTAGTAAACCACTCTGTTTTGGCAGTCTGTGCTCTGATCCCACTTTTCTCGGGTCAGGGAATATTTCTTCTGTCATGCATTCATGTCCTCTCTTGTTCCCTTCTTCCACTTCTCTCACTATCTTTTTTTTCTCCTACAGCAAAGGAAAAGAAAGTCAAAGGAACTACAGGGTTGACTAGGGGAAGGAGACAGAGGAAACCATTTTAGCACCTTGCTATACTACATCCCCTTTTCTTGAGTCATGGGGGAAAGGAAGGGCTGGCTTCTGATAAAGTGAGGGTTTTGTTGCAGTCATATGTGAGCTGTAAGAGACCAGAGAAGCCATTCTCCTTCCTATTTTACAGTTGGGGACATTGAGGTTTAATGACTAACCTAAGGCCACAGAGCCAGGTAGTGGCATTGGTAGGACTAGAACTCTGATTTAACTTCTACGAAGGTTTGCATGGACCAGTGGAAAAGTGCCCCTTTTATGCTGAGTAGGTGAGGCAGCCAGAGATGGAAATTCCACTACCTTCAGCAGTCTCTTCAAACATGTTTTCAACAATGAAGCAGTCCTTAATTTCTGGTCCTCCAAAGAAATGGAGAACAATTGATTAACCTAGTCGTCCCACAGCCTTCTGTTCCTTAAGGCAAACCACACCATGACTATCACTCGAAAGACCTATATTCATACCTTTTAACATCTTTGTTACTCTTCCCCAAGCCTGACTTGTTTCTCTATATCCTTCTCAAAATATGGAGACTCAGTCTGAACCTAGAGCTCTAAAGATTTGTTGGGTGGAGTAAAATGATGTCCTCGTGCTCTGTTTTTTTAATGCATCCTACTTTGATTTTTTGTTTTTGCTTGTTATTACATTTTCAAAAAAACTGATTTTCCATGTGTTAGTAACGACTTGAAGATATTTATATTATTGATTTAGTTTTTCTTTTTCTTCTTTTTCTCCTACCATTTTTCAGCTTCTTTCTAGTGACCAGGTGGCAGATGCGTGTCAAGAAAACTAATCGCCTTCTAACAGGATTTGGAATAGAATTAATGCGGATCTTGGGCCCTTCCTGTTCCAGCTTTAGCAGCCCAAGGTCCATGACTCTTCAGAAAGATTAGCTGGCTGGGAAACTGAACCTCACGGTATCTCAGGGCCTGGGTTCTGTCTTTGAACCCTAGGAAGTGAATTTTGTGAGATTTAGTACTCTAGTTTATCAGAGACAGAGCCTGGGTTTGTAATCGACGCTGGCCAACCCATCCCGGGACGTCTAGTGAGGCAAACGCATCTCTTATTTTCAGTGTGATGCCTCGAAGTCAGCCAGTGCATCCTGCCAGACAAGTTCCTGCTTCTGGACGCCTGTGAGCCTCTGACACACCGCCGTGAGTGGAGCTGGTGCGGCAGCGGAGTCATTTGAAGGGGTACTGCTCACTGCAGTCAGTACCTGCCAGGCGTCTTCCAGTCTTACCAGCTGTTCGGTGACAAGTCTAGCTCTTACCCGGCACTTCCAAACTCGGAGCCCGTCCCTCCTCCACCTCCCTCCCAGTCTCCAGCCCGCCCAGGTCGCACCTTAGCTCTACTTCCCCACCTTTGAGCTCGCAGAGATGGGGCGGAGCCTTGGGGAAGGCTCGTGACGTCACTCCTCGGCTGGGGAGGCGGGGCTGTGGGAGCCGCAGTGCAGCGCAGGGGGGAGGGGCGGGGCGGGGCGGGGAGGGGCGGGGTCTGCGGCGCGTGACCTGGCCGCGGTGGGCAGGGGCTGCGAGAAAGGTGTCGGGGGGCCGGGACGGCGGCGTCCGGAGGCGGGGCGGGGAGTGGCCGGGCCCCGGCGGCGGCGGCGGCGGCGGCGGCGGCGGCGGCGGCGGCGCCCGGCGGAGCTCTAAATCGGGTCACGCTTCCTTCTTCTCTCCCCTCCCCTCCTTCTCTTCCCACCTGGGCCTCTGCGTGGAGACGCGCACCTGGCAACCAGCGGCCGCACTCCGCTGGGTCTCCGCCTTCTCCGCTCGGGCCGGGCGCCGGGAGTCTGCCCCGCAAGCACCGGAGCCGGTCCTCGGCCATCGGAGCCCGCCCCTGGCCCCTCTCCCCTCGGCCGGCGCCGGGCTCGCCGGAGGCGGCCTCGAGCGCTCGCTCGTTGATGCCGTTTTGGGGGTGACCCGCCGCGGCGGCCGCGCCTCCAGGGCGGGGGGCCAGTCAGTGGTCGCGGCTCTGCTGGACGTTGGGTGCGCTGCTGCGGGGTGAAGGTGGGGGGCCAGCCGGCGAGACCTCGCGCGCAGTTCGGGTTTCGGGGCGCCGGAGGCCGCCGCGGCCGCGCTCGAGCGGGAGATGTTGGAGCTGAGGCACCGGGGAGGCTGCCCCGGCCCCGGGGGAGCAGTGGCGCCGCCACCCCGCGAGGGAGTGGCGGCCGGTGGCGACCACGAAAACGAGAGCACCAGTGACAAGGTAAGCAGGCGCGCGGGAGCGCACACCCACGCCGCGGCCGGGTCCGGTTTGGGCGGGACGCCTGGGAGCGAGGGTGGGGCGCTCCCGAAGCAGGTGAGGCTGTGGGCTGCCCGCTGCGCCTTCCCCCGGCCTGGCGGTATTTCCTCCTTGCCGGAGTGGGGTGGAGAACCGGCCCCGGGACCGTGCGTTTCCCGGGACGACCGCGGCCGTTGCCGGGACAGCTGAGTGATTCCAGTTGGCTAAAATGTAGATTCTCCCCATTCCAGCCCCTCGCCCTCCCTGGGGTCTGGGGTCGACGCTGGAATGTGGATGGAACCTGCAAGCACCCTGGCAGCTGCAGTTTTCTAGTAGCCGCCACCTCACACCTCTTCTCGGCAGGGAAACAAAGTTACCAGGGACTGAACTTAAGACGAACACCTTCGGTTCTAACGTGTCATTGGATCCTGACGCGGGAGGCTTGGCTTTCTCGCGCTCCCCCATCAGCACTTTCGTTTCCTTGTCCTTTTTCAGTGTGATAGATTTTGAAGGTTGAAGAGTGCCATACACATGACACAATTGAATCCTCCTGCTTCTTTTGAGTCCACGGAAGACGGTGCAAGTCTTATGTCTGCCAGTAGATTTTATTTGACCTGACAGGAGACTCCTTGAGGACTTCGAACTCCCATTTCAATGGATTACTGTTCTTTCACATTTAAGAATAAGGAGATGTAATACCCCTATTCTATTTAATGGTAGAAAACGTCAACGTTTAGCTTATTCGTTAATACAGTGGTGCAGGTAGGGATTTTTGAAAAAAAAAACAAAAACAAAAACAAATGCAGTGTTATGACCTTTTAGACTGGATGATTTAAGTAATTGGGACAGAGAATAAATTGTTTTATAAAACGTTCTGTTAATATAAGTTCATTTTATTTTAGAAGCTCAAAACACTTAAACTGTTCCTAGAAGCATTCGTTTTGGAAGTAGGTATTGCAGTTTGAATTACGGAAGTGAAATGTATTCCCCAAGGTCAAGTCAGTGGCCTTTTGGAACTAGAACCTGTTTCTTGATTCCCTTTCTTGTGGTTTGTACTGTTGCTGAGACTCACTGGCAGTTCTGATTTGGGGAGGACTCCACCTGGAACTTGATGTTGATATAATCCAAATTACAAAGTCCTGGTAAGAACGTATCACATGATATCATGAAATAATTAACAGTGATTTCAGGAATGAAATTTTAGAATCAATGGATTCTCCTTTATTTCTTTTCTACCTTTTATAGCTGGTGGAATAAGATGAGAGTCAGTGATAGAAAAAACCTACATGTCAAGGAATTACACAAAATACAACAGTTTCCAGCTTCTGCAGATTGATGTTACAAAGCTAGAAACAGTAGGCTAAGAATAGTCTTTGTGAAAACTGCCTTGGAAACTAGACCAAAAATAGAATTAATTAGGTTGGGATTTGTTTTGTTTTAGCACTGGTATAGTTTAGAATCAAGGAAATACCAGCTCCCCCTGTGTGTACTTCCTTAACAAGAAGAAGCTAACAAGCTTTTAATAAGAGAAAACATGTTCAGGAAGCCATGGATAAAGTAACTTTTGAGTAAACTTAGTTTCTTAACACCCCAATATATTTAATGTGGAAACTATTTCTAGGGTTTGATTTGACTCAACTCAAACCCTGAGACACAGGGATGTCTCAGTGACTAGGTCACCTCACTGCTTATTTATTTATTTATTTATTTATAATCAGTGCACTGTTGGTTTTTATGAACACAAAGCCAGCTGCATTTTCTTTTCTGAGAGTAGATGTTGCCATATGTAATCTTGTAAGATTTCTTCGACAAGGATGAGCATTTTCAAATTGTGTCTTAAATATTGCTGTATTTTTAGGCTTTATCATAAGGAACTCTTGTCTTAGAAAGCTTTGTTTGAGACATTGAACTCTACTGTCTCTCCTCTCTTATCAGGATGTATATTTGAATGCACCTGTATTTCCAGGTCAAGGGCTATTTTAAAATTATTTTGCTCATCAGAGGCTGGTTAATATTTGGTTCATTTAATTTCTTCTCTGTTCGAGTTGTGGTAAAGGCAAAAACACTTAGAGAATTAATGAAAAACGTGGAGAAAAGTGCCTTGTACTCTATTATGGTACACTCCCATGCCTTTTGTAGTCCTTTACTAATGGTGTTATTAATGTGACATTCTCATTGTTCAGGACCTGGTGACTTATGCTGGGAGAAGGCTCTGTGCTCAGGAGAATTAGCAGGTGAAAAGTGCTTCTTACCTGCAAGGGGATGTTCCTTATGTTAAGTGCTGGAGAAATACTTGAGAGATGACAAGACCACCCCTTCAAGGACTCCTCTTCCCCTGGGAGACATATATAAGTTAGATTTATTAGAAGTCTGAGCAAGGTTCATTGTTCACATCAAGGGCATAGTTGGACTCTACATGGAGACAGCAGGAAAAGCTTCAAAGAGGAGGTGAGAGTTGAGCTTGGAACTGAAAGATGCCTGGGGACTCACTAGGTAGACAAATGTTGGGGAAGGACGTTCTAGGCAAAGGGCATGAGGAGCTTTTTATTTTGAGTCAGCATTGTGGGCACAGGGACCTGAAATTAGTTTGGTAATCCTGGATCACATGCTGTGAATTCTTGGGAGGTGGGGTTTGGGGGTTGAGAGCTTGAGAATCTGGTAGAATCAGTTAGGCTTTATTCCATGGACTTTGGGAAGCCACTGAAAAGTGTTTGCAAAGGCAGTAGCTTATCACTCAGCAGTCTGGAGAAAGTGTTGGAGGGCAGAGAGACATGCCACAATGAAACCAGATAGTGGAATAGTACAAGTGTTATAGATATGAAATGATGAGGGCTTGGAGTGAGTCTAGTAGGGGAAGGAGGGTTGGGAGAGAAAATGTATGTGTTTGATAATGCCGATAGGACCTAGACTAGGATGATCAAAGTAAGACTAATAAAAGAAGAGCCTGCCAGGAGACACATTTTAATCCACAACTCAGGAGTCTTTTAGGAAAGAAGCAAAAATTATTGGGGAGTTTTGCAGGGAAGAAGTGAGCATGCGTGAGCTGGATTGGACAGGGTATGTCATTCTCTAAAATAGAAAGGTGGCTCAAGGAGATGGTGGAAACTGAAATGAAAGGCTAGGTGTGGAGATGGCAACTTTTGACTATGATGGTGGGGCTGGGGGGAGAACTAAAGACAGAACCTTGGAATGTGGCCATGTTTAGAGCAGGTTTGGAGATGTAGGGAAGGAACTAACATTGTGAGGTCCTGGGGGCTAGGGGAGAGGGAGTGCTTAGAGGATGTCATCAGGAGTGTTTAGGAAAGAGGGTGAGTTTGGCAAAGATCTTACTTAGTAGAAGCCAGGTTTTAAGGTGAGGAATGTGAGAGGTGAAATACTGGTAGTTATTGTCAAGAAGGTCCAGCAAAAGGAAATGCAGGATAGAAGCTGGACAGGACTGTAGGAACGTGAACATTTCCTTTATCATGGGAGGAAAGATGAACATTTGTGTGAAAGAAGTCAAGAGGGAGTAAAGATGCTGATGAGGATGGGCAGGACCCAGAAAAAAGAAAGCAGACATGGTGTGAAGAAGAAGATTGGGATATCTAAGGAAAGGAACAAGGAGTGGAGGGTGGATGCAGAAACATTTTGAAAAGCAGAAGAGGGAAAATCAAAGTGTTTGACTGATGCTTTCAGTTTTCTCAGTAAAGTGAGGTCTCAGAACCATAGAGCTGCAAGGGATCTTAGAAACAGTGTATTAATTGTTCAACGCTATCTATATTTAAAAATAATAAACTTGCTGTAGAGTGTGGTTGTTATTGCCCAAGATGATCCAGAGCAAGTGGCAGGACTGAAATTAGAACACATCTCTGCCAGGATACTTTCAGAATGTTGTGTTAGGGAGTGCGATATGAAATGACAAAGAGGCAACTAGTCCTTAACTCAGTAGCAGTAACAGTCATAATGGTTGATGTTTGTAATGATTTAGAGTTCAGAGAGTACTTTTACATCTTACTTTATTTGCTCCTCATAACAAGTATGTGAACACGGAGAAGTGTTCCAAAATGAAGAAACACAAGTTCAAAAATTAAGTTTATTTTAAAAATGTTAGAGTATTGATGAAAGAAACTACACACATCCGAAATAGGAAAGGACAAAAATTAACTGACTTCTGAATTCTTTCACCCTCAATTTCACAAACCAAACTCTGTCAAAGCAGCAACCCCGCATATAAGCACAGCAGGGACACTGTGCTGAGGTGTGCTTCCCTTTACTGGCCACAACTTCCATGTGTACCCACTGTTCTCTCACTCCGGTCCAGTGAATAAGCTTTTAGCTTCATCTGCAATTGCTCAGGCCCTTTAAGTCCACACAGAACTTCAACAACCCACTCTGGGCTTCAGTAGTTCCCTGCCTGCCCTAACTCATGGTCTGCCACTTCAAACCCAGCCTCACTGACTCCCTCATTCCTTTGGCATCCTTCCTTGCCTTGGAATGTCCAGACTGAAATCACTCCTATTGCCTTTCTTATTTTCATCTATTAAATGGGAAATATTCCTAACACACATACTTGTTATGAGGAGCAAATAAAGTAAGATGTAAAAGTACTCTCTGAACTCTAAATCATTACAAATATCAACTATTATGACTGTTAGTGCTACTGAGTTAAGGACTAGTTGCCTCTTTGTCATTTCATATCGCACTCCCTAACACAACATTCTGAAAGTATCCTGGCAGAGATGTGTTCTAATTTCAGTCCTGCCACTTGCTCTAGATCATCTTGGGCAATAACAACCACACTCTACAGCAAGTTTATTATTTTTAAATATAGATAGCGTTGAACAATTAATACACTGTTTCTAAGATCCCTTGCAGCTCTATGGTTCTGAGACCCCACTTTACTGAGAAAATTGAAAACATCAAACACTTTGATCTTCCCTCTTCTGCTTTTCAAAATGTTTGTCTTGGTGCCACCTGCATGTGTAATAAACATTTTCTATAATTTT